CTATTAACAATTTAAAATGAAATCCGTTTGCGACGTAGAGATTGACGTACGTCAGTATATGTTTGTTGACCAACCTATGAATATTCTAGTTCTTCAGAGTGCAACTCCTGAAAAACAATTTCTTATACGTGTATGTGACGTCAATTCGTTGCATTACAGATATAATTAAAATCAATGTTACATTCTCAGAGAGAAACGTTACGCTTTTATAGCAAAATCGTTTCTCTCTTTTTCCTAAATAATATATAAATTTGTAGGTAAATGAATTTATTTCAGGCCGCATTGCTCGGAGCAGGTGGTTCCTTGATCGGAATCGGCGCGGACCTCAGCGGTTCTATAAGGGTACCGGGACTTTTCTGCGGGATCTTTGGATTCAAACCCTCGCCGAGTAAGTAGACCTTTTCCTTCGTTTAAATGAAATACCTGGATTTTATTTATTTCAGTTCAGATTTCTCTCACCTACTTCTTTGTTTATAATCTATTAATGAAAAGTTAGGAAGTCAAAATTCTATCGTTGAAATTAATAGAATATTCAAAGGCAATCATTAATTCTTACTAATTTATGCATAATTCATTTTATTCCTTTTCTCACATTACAGAAGTTATTCCGAGCACAGATCATTTACCATCGAACAACAACGAAAATTTGCAAAATTACTTGACGTTCGGCCCGATGACTAGGTACGCAGACGATCTCATTCTGCTTATGAAAGTGATGTCGGTGAAATCCAATCGCGACTTATGTCTTGACGAGCCGGATGATTGGAAGCAAATGAAGGTCTATTATCGAGACAATCTGAGTAATTCACTTAGTATTTTGTCACAGTCACCGGAATTCAAACATTGCATTCTAAAAGCTACTATTCACTTTGTCGAACGCGGTGTTCATACGGAGAAGGTATGTCTTTATAATATAGGTTCAGCACGTATCATCTGTATGCAACATTTTCATGAATTTAATACTAACTGTGGTTGTACAGATACCAATAGAATGGCCTGCCTCGTTATTCGAAATGATAGTGGCGCATCTTATGGATATTGGAAAGTTGGACTTACTTATAGATGCCAAGAATCCCAAGGTGTTGATATAAACAAAATTTGTGAAAATATTCTATTTTTCTTAATCACGGGGGGACACAAACTCATATGATAATTTGGATCTGTGTTCTTTTTATTACAGCTTCGAAAGAATCCTATAGTGGAAATGAT